ACATATTGGATGATACATTGATTACTACTGACAATGGCAATCATCTTACCAACTTATTAGCTTGCTGCTTCCCTAGAACCAGAGGCAGAGGCAAAACCAAATTGGGTTGCTCTCTAGCCACCTTATACTTTGTATTTCAAAATTTTTAGGCTTTTTCTTTATGTCCCTACTGTACTTTTCTGTATTTTCTAGTTTTGGAACCACTTGTGGTTTTGGTGTGAACAAAGTGTCATGTTTGGGCCCTTCAACACATTGTAGTTGTATCTTTCTTTTTAGTTAATACATTAGCCTTTTAAATATATATATATATATATACATATATATATATATATATATATATTATAAACGCTCAAGGGCTAATTTTATTGAAATTGAAAAGATACATAAAGGTTGTATGAGATGACCCAAAAAGGTGTTCTACCCATACGATACATCAGACACTAGCATCTTAAATGGATGAAACATAGATAAAACACAAAAAATAAAACTTGCAGAAAATAAGTTGCTAGGCACGAGCCAGCTTGGTCTTACCTCTGCCTCTGGTTCTAGGAGTGGAGACAGCTAACAAAATTGCTGAGTATTGTTCCATTACCCGAAGTTATTAGAATATCATCCATTAAATTTTCAAGTTGGGGTGTGCCTCCGTTTTTCTTTCTCTTTCTAGATGTGTATATCTGTCATTCCTCATCCGATAACTTGCTCATCTGATCGGTGTGGTCAACAGATTGTTGGGTATGTAGGAGAGAATGAGCCCCCAGCTCCTAAATAGCAGTAACAACATTCTGATTCTGAAGACGTGGTAAGCATATCTCTTCAACACCTGATGCATCCTGGGGATGTGGAGCTTCAATACTATCTTGATTATCGGTCTCAAGTAAATCATCTGTCAATATATCAGTCGGAAGAACAGAGACAGTATTGTCTCCGGTAGTGGGAGGGAGAGGTAACATCGTGTCAATCGGTGTTTCAATAGCCTTATATTATATATATATATATGTGTGTGTGTGTGTGTGTGTGTGTGTGTTTATTTTAGAGACGAGCCCCGATGACGCGGTGATGTCACCAGGGTTAATGAAGGGGTTTGTTAGAGATGGAGATAAGAAGCAAGCCAAAGAAGCTAGTTGATAAGAGTCAATTGAGTTGTTGGTGAGGCAAAGATAGATGATAGTGTAATAACTTAAAGAAATAATAATACTAATAATAATAGCAATTAATTAAATAGATACGAAGGCTAAGCACTCATTCGGTTACGACTTAAGAGTCATATTACTCCTCATTTGAACCAACTTAAAGAACAAGTGAGAGAAAATGGGAGAGATCGAGAGGAAAACTGTTGTGCCCTAGTCGAGGAAGAAAAAAGTCGCGGGAAGAAGCATGCGGCCATTGTACAGTGTCGAGTCGTGCAAAAGCAGAGGAAGGAGAGGGAGGCGGCGGCAACAAAGGCTTACATGGACCAAGTCGAAGTCGAAAAGGAGAAAGCAAGAAGACAAGCCCGCGCGCATGCAGAGGAAAGAGAGGCTATGTCGAGTTGAGAACGAAGGGAGGAGAGAGCGCAGCGCGTACATGAGGTTAGGGCAATCGAAGTTATAAAAAGGTATATTTGAGATTTTTATAAGTTAATTAATATATTATTATATAAATAAATTTATGTATATATATTGCAAAATTAATATTGGCAAATTATTTAGGACTAACAATTAGTTATTTCAGATTCGAATGAAAGGTTGGAGCATGCCAGTGAGAGAGGAGATTGATCAGTGAACACATTTAAATTAAGCAAATTAACCAAATGTTATAGCATAAATATATGTGTGTGTGTCTGTTACGGGTTCCCCGACTCTTCGGTTGACATCTGCTAAGTCAAATCTAAGTCCACTGGGGTCGGGGGTTCAATCTCGTTGGTATGCGGATCAGTCAAGTGGTTAAGCACATGAGGTTTGTTGAGGGCTCGTATCATACCCTCTGGTCAATCTAAAAAAAATTATATATATAATGTTAAAATAAAGTTTAATTGAACCAGAAAGTACTTGAGGTTGGGTAGTTATAGTTTTGAATTTGAGGGGAGAAGAAGTTGTGCAAGAAGCAAACCAGACATTTAAGATAAGAAAAAATATGTTGATTTTTAAGTGTCAATTTAATGATAAGCCGATAGATATATTTAAGTTTTCTTTAGATGAGATTATTATAATAATTTGAACATTTATATAATATAGTTGATTGTACAAATATATTTGCGGAGAAGTATTTCAGAAATCTTTTGTAAGCAAACGGGAGTGATTTTTTTTATGCATTAAATTAAGGTTAATTAAAATGAATAATTGTTTTATTAAAGAGTTTAAATCAATATTTTATTCATATCTTGCATTTTGATAGTTTGAAACGGTATCACAAATGGGAGAAAAATAATGGACATATGAAAAAACATTTTAAATGATTGTAAACCATATGAAATGTAAAGATTTAAGTCATACAAGATTACCCCCAAATGGTACTGGTAAGGGATGCAATGTACCCGTGCACATTAAAGAAAATGGTAAATGTATACCTTCGAGTACAATTTGAGGATATATTTGGGTACAATTTTGAGGACGACCTCAAGCGCATTTTTTATGATATATTTGGGTATAAAGACAATCTTGTGATAACTATTAAGAGATTAAAATGATAAATACTTAAAAGTTAAACGGGAAGGAAAAAAATTAAAGTGAAATTTTAAAATTTTATAAGGAAATAGAGTTTTTTGGACATTCATACATAGCATAAACATCGTAATTTAATGCATATTAGATTATAATTACTCACTAAGTTATATCTACAGTTGCAATTAATGTTTTCTTTAAAGAGAAGTAAAACTTTAAGTTGATATATCTAATAGGAAAATTTTGGTTTGATTTTGGTTTGCAAGAGTAGAACTGCGGCTGATAGGTACTAGTTATAATATATTTGTAGTTTCTATTTAATGTTTAATTCATTTGATGTTCAGTACTGGTTTGAGATGTAGTTTTTAGATTATGTTAATTTAATTTTATTGGACTTTGTGGATTAGTGATTCTTTTATGTGTTAGAAGTTTCTGAAATAATTTGTAGAAAGTAAAATGAAATGTTAATACCATCCGATCCGATCGCAGTTTCCATCTTCGTCAATTCTAAGAACCGAGCCGGATCGTGACAGATAGGAAGGTAGTTAGTAAATAGGCTTTGCTATTTAATAGGAAAACTTGAAAGGGGCTTAAAAAATCAATTAAATAGCAAAATGATATATTCAAATCTCATATTTGTTTCTTCTTTGTTTTACCCCGAGTGTTTTCTTTTCTTCAAATCCATATGCCTAATGAACTTTCTCTTCTTCACACACCACAAGTTTCATTGAGGACTTCTGAAGTGTGCTTCCTTCATTACTTAAACCAAAATTGTGTCAGAGAGAGATGAGGGTTGAGGCCAAACTGAGTTGTTTGTTAAACTAGAGAATTGTTGGGAAACAAAAAGCATATGTAGAGTTCGGGCTGTTGAAGATTGGGCCGCATGCATTGACCGAGTGAGGTCTATGCATTATCATGCTACGTATTATTTTAATCTCACTTGGTTGAATTAATCATGGGATCTCTTCTTAGTAATTCTGATGTTCATTAGAGCAGTTCATTTTGCAAAAAGAACATCATTCGAATAATTTCAAGCAAAATTGACACATCTCTGATTCATCTTATGTAACACTGCATCCATTGCTTACCATTGATATCAAATTTGATCGTATCAATTTATGAAGCCTGTATTGATGCTAAAAACAATGTGAACCTACTGATGAAAATAAAGGAATTGTCACTACCTCATGAAAGCAATGTGAATTTGTGAACACCCTCCCTAAGATAGTAATTACTGGACTTCCGGAGCAGAGCATGCTTTCTAGCAGGACCTAAAGTTGTCCAAGAAAAGCTGCCAAGACCCTACCAGGGATATGGATGGAGATGGAAGAATAAAAGGGAAGAGAGAGAAGATTGAGTATCAGTGATTATCCTTGATTGAATCGGTCTATAGAAGACTACAACGAACCCTTTAGATAAAGAAGGGCAAATTAAATTGAGTGATAGATGATTTAGAGAGAGAAAAATATTTGGAGGAGAATTTACAAGAGAATCTGAGAAACTAGAATAATAGTTTTGGACACGTACAAGATCACAAGATACATTTCATGTGCCCACGCGCACCTGTGGCCTACAATTTTTATATGAGCGGAATGTTGAGATTATATAATTGGCTTAAATAATATTATTACAAAATAATAAATAGCCTTGATTTAATATACCTAGTTGTGTGACAAGCAAGTCTGAGTTCAAGTCAACAGTTGGTTGGCAACTTTCAGCGAGCTCCAAATGGAAGGTGGGTTCCTCGAACAAGAACAACTAGTTAGTCGTCAACCAGTTCTCAAGGTAAGTGATTGAGTTCCTTAGGCAAGCAAGCTTGGCATATAAGTGACTACGTAAGCACTTAGATAATGTTAGTAGATTGATTATGAGTATAACCTAAGGTTGACTCATAAGCGACTTCAAAAGATTCAGATCTGCAAGAATCAAGGATTTTGATTACTAAAATATTAGCAAATTCTACATTGTTATGCTTCAAGCCAGTTGACATTCAGCGACTTGTTGAGCTAGATTCAAGCTCTCATATAAATCTAATTTAACTAACCAAAATGAATATGAGTGTATGTTAGTTTTTTATTCTCTAATTTCATGAGAAATAGACTATAATGAAATTAAAAAAAAAACAACAATACTATTCAGTCCGGGTGATTTGACACAATCCAGTGAATTGGCTCTTAGTAAAGCTCAAAACAGAGGTAGGATGATAATAGACCAAACTGAATTTCAACAAATTCAAATAATCCATCAAATGATAAGCATTTTAAAAATGGCATGTGCGCTTCATTCAAGCTTCAATTATTTGGAAAAGCGATGAACGCTATCAATAATTTGAAGATCCTTATTAAGAAGCATCTCATGTACCTCTTTTAACACCACAGCATTCTTGAGACCAGGAAATAGTTTCTTTTCAAGCCTGCTGATGATTTCATCAGCCACAAGTTCCTTCTTTGCTTCATATTCCTTACGAGATAAACCCTGTTACAAGGAAAAAACCAGTAGAGCTTGAATTAAAATAAAAAATAGACAGAAGCAACATTTTGAAACATCGTCACATTCTGTACTTCTAAAGGTAAACTAAAGAATCAATGAATTTGAACTGGCCACAGATGCAAGCATCTGTACTTGCCTGCCAATCTTCTATGTTTGATGTTGTGAATATATGAAAAATGTGATGTCCTTCAGGAGCCAAAGACGGATCAAGAACTGTCGGAATACTCAAAAAGATGCTTCCATAAGGCTTCTCTAACCTATCCCAGGTGTCCTGCATGTAACCATAACAGCAACCTGTCTCCCTATTTCCTAATATTGCGACTCCATAGAATAAACAATACAAGAGCTTCAATATACCTCTAGAATGAAATGGTGACAGTCTGTAACAGGAGGCAAAATGAATGATTTGACTCCCATGTGAATGGAGAGAAATGATGGTGCCTTCAAATAGATTTTTTGGAAGTTTTTCTCCTCTTGCGGAATGTCATCAACTTTCAACAATTTACCTGTAATGCAAGCAGGATGCATGATGAACAGCATACAGTCTATGCATGTATTATTACGCAAATGCCTGTAATTTCAAGCATTATGGAAGCCTCCAGTAAGGAAAAACATATAAAATTAGGATCATTTACATACATACCACACAATTCTTATGTAATTACATATCTAACACCTAAACACTTCCATAGTTACATGCATGCCACTCAAATCATTAATATCACAACAAAAATACCACAATCACTATCTTTTTAAAAGAGAAATACACATTTTCATGCATAAGTTTATGACACCAAGCTGTTACAAATGTAAATACCAAACTTTGGGCGTTAGATATGAAAATACATAAGAAGTGTTTGTTTGTTTGTTATGTAAGTAAATTTCCGTTAAAACTATTTGAATATGTCTGCCTTCATATGGTAATGCTTTCCTAACTCATCATGTCAAAATGAAACATGATGTCTTCAAAGCAGAGAAACTCAAGAGAAAGACTTGTGTCAGCCTCCTTGTCGAATATTTGGATGAGATTGCAAATGGCAACATGCCACTTGGAACATCTCATTAATGTTTTACATCTTAGGCACCATTGGACACGGTGCAATCTTAAGTTGACACAAATTAGATATAATCCATGGCATTACCAAATCAATTTTGTTTTAGCCATCACTCGCTCTTCCTCCCTATGTTTCTCCCTTAAAATCATCTTCACTATGTTCGAAAAATTCATGCTCTAGACCATGATCCTTAATAATTATTATTTAATCAATAACAAATCTATAGATATACATAATATAATATCTATATTTAACACTCTTAATTATTAAATCGGAATATTCTATATAGCAATATGCTTTTAGGTGTGAAATGAGTACTATATATGATACCGAAGTTAACTCAAATCATGATAGAAAAAGCAGATATTATTACTGAAAAACAAATAGACAGTTACAATCACACACTTGAAAGGGAAATTACAACAAACATGACACAAGCTCACACTGGGGCTAGGTGGTTGGGGAGCGAAGTTAGGTAACTGAAATAGGGTTTTAGGTGGTTCGGACAGCCAAAGGAGGGGCTGGCATTGCATTGGCAGCGAAGCAAACAGCTGGGAACGCAAGGGCAGCTAGTGGGGTGGCAAGCAGAGCAGCGACGCGCGGTAGGAAAGGCTCGAGCAGCCAGAGGACAGCTAGAAAGCAGCATGTTTACAGTTTTCCGGATGAGGAAAGTGAAGGGACAAATAAGGGGTGGCTGTCCATAAGAGGTAGCAAGCAAGAAGCGTTGGAACGGGAAGTGCAGTGAAAAACAGCAAAAGATGTTGTCCTGGGCACAGATGCAGCTTGGAAGGACGGCTTGGAATGGCGAGAAGCGAGGGGGAAGGATACATCACCACCTCGGGAGCGAGATATAGCTGGAGCACCACTCAACCCTTAGAGAAAGCCCTTGAAGAGAAAAAACGGATGCTTGCAGCTGTGCTGACAGAAATCTAAGCCAAAAATTAACCTAAACCACAAGAATTAACATATAAATAGTCTAAGGGTAAAGAGGAGTGGATCTTTGTTCCTAATAGGAGCGAAATCCACGTAAAGGAATGGTCGATAGGCCCTCCTAGACCGGTCCAAGCTACCCTCCCTCGCATGAGTTTGTGGCACTGTAGCAAATGTCACCAAAACGTATCTACAGGTTGCTCCCACATCAGTCTCCCGGGATTGGGGAAGCTTTGACCATATTTGTCGAAGCTTTTGTCTCTATAAAGTAATCAAATCAGCCCTGTTGACAGTAGTGAAAATGTTGGAAGGTCCAGAAAGTCAATCATGTAATCATGTCATTCAAAAACACATTCTGATAGAATAAGTATCCATCCACTTTTAGCATAAATTGAGTTGGAGATACAAAACGACAGATTCTCACGAGTCCAATCCCAAGCAAGTAAATTTATAATCACTCTTCTAATCCTCATAATCGGTTGGATGTATTTGATAAATAGGTATGTGATGAGGAATCAACTCTAAGATGAAATTTGTGGCAGACTGCACCACTTTCACTAGCAACCACTCAAGATATGCATCATATTTTTCTTTGATAAGACCTAGAACCAATTAGAGAATTTTATTCTCCATTAAGCTCCTAAGATAACTTTTAAAGTTGTGGTTCATCCCTCCTGTCTGGACATCTGATATTGGGTGCATGGTTGAACTGAATCTAATATCTAAATAACTCCATGTAATGTTCCTGACATGACACAAAAGGGCCCCATTTTTGACATGTTGGATCTCCCTCAATAGGGACAATTCTAGAAGGAGCTTATCTATCTGAAAAATCTGGATTTCTCTTATCTAAGGTTGTCAGGTGTTAGCTGTCAGTTCCTCTAACTTAGGACCATTTTGGACAACCACTATGAATTACCTTGGAGCCTCTCTTGTGCCCTCAACTGAAGCTATGTGATTTTCTTCCTCATTTATTGGAATCTAGTCCTCCTTTGTGTTTTTACTCTCTTCTGTGTCGATTGTGTTATTATCCATTTCTTCAACTATTCCCTACTCGGTGAAACATATCACCCATTGGTTGTACAATCTGCCTCAATATGTCCAAATGTATGACACTTTAAACACTTTCTACAGGGATGAATTTGGGAATGTGGATCGGTGCCCTCTGGCCTCCACTGTGAACTAGTGTCTCTTCAGGCGAAGTTAGCTTGGAAGTTCCCCTATATGTACTCTGGCAATAAGGTCCTGGTGTTGAACCTTATTTGTAAAATGTGGTGGTCGTCTGATGATGTGGTCTCTCTATTTTTGAAGTTGAGGTTTAAAACTTAGTTTGTATTGAGTTGGTAGATACTAAGTAGTGATCTTATCTTTTCCTTCACGTTGGCGTATGTGCTTCAAATTTTTCTACCAAAATAACGCATTATTCTTTAACTTGTTGACAGCTAGTTTCAACATTTCGTACGGTGGGATGTATTGGCACTCAAAGAAACATTCCAATGTCCAAAGCCACACAACGAACTCGTCCGGATCCATGTGGCCATCAAAATACAATAAATCCACCTTTACTTCAAAATTTTAACTTCTTAGATATTTCAGGTCACATCTTCGAGGTAGAAGTTCTTCATCTCTGGAATCCACATGATGGAAATGGATCACTCCATCCCTTCGATCTAACAAGTCACCATTGCGACTATGGGTAACCCATCTGGATTGCCTCCTCTCGAAAGTGGAAAGCATTCTTTGTAGTTGGTTGGTTTCCCACATATCCTCCCTAACAGTCTCTTAGAAACTCTTTGTAAATTTCGCAAAAACGTCATCATGTTTTTTCACCTCGAGCAGGCTTCTAATAATTATCTCCTTGGTGGCATGGCTAGGTTTTTTGTGTGGGTAGGTGGAAGTAGGTGTTGTAAGGGTGATGTAGGGCGGCAAAGGAAAATTTTTGGTGGAGATAGGTTTGGGCATGCAGGATACTAGAAACCTTAGAATAGGACTAGGGATGGACTAGCTCTGATATCAAATGATACCGGAGTTAACTCAAACCATGATAAGAAAAGCAAAAATTATTACTGAAAAGCAAATAGATGGTTAACATCATACGCGATTCAAGAAAAAAAAATTACAACAAACACGACACGAACTCACATTAGGGCTTGACCTAAGGGTGGTGGAGGTAGGTGGCTGAAATGGGGTTGTAGGTGGTTGGGACAGACAAAAGAGGGGTTGGAATCACCTTGACAGTGAAGCGAAGGGTCGGAACAGCAAGGGCAGCAAGCGGTGGCGAGCAGAGCGGTGAGGTGCTATAGGAAAAGCCAGAACAGCCAGAGGACAGCACGAAAGCAGCAGGTTTATTGTTTTCTGGATGACGGCAGTGATGGGGCGTAGTGGGGGGATTGCAGGCTAGCAAGGGCAGCTGTCCGGGATAAGGCAGTGAGCAAGAAGGGCTGGAATGAGAAGACTGCAGCGAAAAATAGCAAAAGCTACTGTCTTGGGGCGGCTGTAGCAAAGCAGGATGACATTGAGAGGCGAAATGCGATGAGGGAAGGATAAATCGCCACCTCAAAAATGAGAAACAGCCAGAGCACCACTCGACCCTTGGATACAACCCTCGAAGGAAAAAACAGATACCGGCAGCTGTCCTGACAAAAATTTGAGCCAAAAAGCAACCTAAACACAAGAAATAACATATAAGCAGTCATAGGGTAAGAGGAGTGGACCCCGCTTCGAATATGAGGAAAAACCACTTAAAGCAATGGCTGACTGGCCCTCCTGGACCGGTCCAATCTGCAGAAATTCACAACACTGTAGCAATGGTCACAAAAAAATTGTCTATAGGTTGCTCCCGCATCTTAAAGTACATCATGTTGCCTTGTTGTGCCATACCACACAAGTATGTATATGCCTCAAAAAATAAACTTACATGTTTTTAGAGAATCCATATTTTATGATTGCTTCAAAATAGCAATCATTGTGCTTGTAAGAAGCAGGTGGCATGAGTACAACAATAACTTTCTAAAGTGACTCAGTTCACAAACAAAAGATTAAGAAGTCGATCAAATATTTCTTTTTTTTGAGTGTAATATGTTGTAGCAATCATGATTCTTTAATAAAAGGATGGTCAATAGTTTTAGAAAGGCAGTACCAAATGTATCCCATCTAGTTGCATTTGATATCACAGTTTGGCCGAAGAACTCCCTTCCATCTGATAGCCTCACTCCCACCTGTGCAACAAAGATATTTTTAGAATCAAATAGGCCATCCCTTCCCAAGTAACAGTTCTGGATTGCTGGTGATTATGGCCATTCAAGCTTACAGCCAATATAATTTGGCACTCACAGCTTTTCCATCTTTGAGCACAATGTTCGTCACATTTGCCTTATAAAGTAGTCTACTGCCCCTATTAACTAGTCCATTTGCCAAAGCCTTTGCTATACCACCAACACCACCAGCAGGGTAATTGATACCTCCAAAATGTCTATCACAAAGAACCATGCTTAACAGAATAAAAAATATATATAAATAAAAAAAAAATTAAAAATACGAAGGGAAAATGAATGGATGTATGTGCTATGCTTCTCTTTGATTAGCAAAACAACTTGGGAAAGCATTAATACCATGCTTGCATTTATCATAGGTGTATGCAGAGCACTGACTGTGCTCACAATGAAACACTGCAAAGGCAACAAACACCCATCTTTGTAAGAAAGGCCAAAGACACGTACTAACTACAAATCACTGTAGAAGATGGATTTAAGTGTTTACAAGTTCTGAATATTCAGACCTCAGCGTCAACGAAGGACAGCAATTGAGGATCTTTTATAAATTTTCGAGCAATATCACCAGCATTTTGAGGCAAATAGAAAGCTAAAAAATAAAAGCAGCATATCAAAGAAAGGTGGAGACTAGATCATTTCTATGCTAATGATAGCCTTGTTAAGATAACTTATGAAAGAAAAAAATAGGTAATGGACGAATAAGGTGCTAAGTAGAATGCACAACTCCAGGAAAAAGATGGTTTTTTATGGATTACCAAGTGTCAGACACTCAAAAGGCTTCTTGAAAAACTGTCCAAGAAGATATATGGGCTCCTCCAATGACTTGAGTTCCAATGAATTCAACGAATTATAGATCTGTTAAAAAAAAAAGGCTTTTAACTAAGTAGTCTGACCAAAAACAGAACACTCTATAGAATGAAAATAAAGCTAGTATACCTTCCAGCACTCATTATAAAATCTATGTATCCCTTTCTTCTCATGCGGAAAATAGTTAACAAGTTCTGAAATGAATGTATCATATTCCCTATGTACGCAAACCGAGAGGTTATCTGGAAGGTGAAAGTGAACAGTAGTAGGATCGGGTATGACCTGCAACTTGCTATCAACAGCTTCCAATGCTCGTGTAATTAAGTTCAGATTACCCTGTTCATAATAATGTTGAAGCAATTCTCATCATTAATTCATAAAAGAGATCAGTCAATCTATATAACTGCAAAAATGATACAAAATCAGTAAGAAAAAGTTATGCCCAATGACCTAATCGCAGCAGGAGTGTCAGTAAATAAAGCCAGATTACCATTGTGCAGAAATATGTCAAGCAAAAAATGATCTTTTTCAGCCCAATATCATAGATACCAATCCAAATACCACAGAAAGAGAGATTAGCAAACCTATCAACTTTGACCACCAACTTTCTCAACTCCCCGGTCACCTTCAACCGTCTTAAAACTCCAATGTAAAAACATGATTGGCCAATATTAGCAATAGAATGATACTTCAAGTGTGTTTCAGAATATTGCATTCATTGCCCTATAGCGAGTTTTAAATAAGACAAAAATCTCTATCACCAACATATCAAAGCAAGTGTCGGCATCCATATGCACACAAATCAAGCCCGAGTTAGCTTGGCTGTCGTCAAAGTCATTCGAATGATGTCTGTTCACAAAACGAACTGCATTTCGAACAATGCAAACAAATTGAGCCTGAAATGCCTTGATTGTCGTCAAGGCCACTCAAATATCCTCGTATGCAAAAACAAAATAGAGAAATGAAATCTAAGATGAGCATAGAATTGAACATGGAACTTGGAATGAAGCACCTATTCAAAGTATTATTTTGGAATGGAGATATACGAATTAAACACCAACAAAAACTGCATGAAATTTATAAGGCATTCGATAGCTCCTCAACAATCACATGTACAGCCTACAATAAATATGAAACCCGTACTCAGACAAGAATAAAACACGAATAAGACTTGTGCTCGAACTCCAACTGTACCCATAGGGACTCAAATACTTGTCCTCAAGCAGAAAGTAAATCTTGTTGAATATTTAATTCAATGAATTAGGACTAAGCACAAGGAGCAAAAGCATTGCTGGAATTCACAGCAATATCTAAAACGTCTAATAGGCCACCAAATCCGCAACAGGCAAAAGGACGGACATAAGGTGTTGTTAAGGCATTGCATGAAAATTAAAAGTTGAATTTTGTGCGACATTTAATAATGACATACTCGCACAAAACAGTTAAATCAGAATTATTTTAAGCTTGCACATGCTTTGTAAGGTAGTAGACAGCCAACCTAAAATTTGTCAAAAAAATCAAGTCATAACATGCTTCGTAAGGCACTCTTCAACTTGAGTACTATATTTCAAACGACATGTAAGATGTCTTAAAAGGTGTGTTTCATAAATTGTATTTAAGTCTTCAGAGTTGAAATACCCATGTATATGCTCCAATCAATGCACTGAATGTTTTAATATTTTATCTAAGATTGATGAACGAGTTAAAAATAAAATAAATTCAATCTGAAATAAATTGTATTTAAGTCTTCAGAAGCATGAAAGTATACTTAAATTATATAAAATCTCTTCTTGAAAATAAACAAAACTAAATACATATTACACGCTTTTAAATGGACAGTTTTATTTATAGGCTAAGATCGTATGTACCAAATTCCTCAGTTCTATCCTTTTCATAATAAAGATTAGAATTGAAAAAACTGAGATCCTATATTAGCAAGTCTAGTCCTACTCATAATCAGAACTAGAATTGACAAAACTAAGGCCAATTTGGTCAATCTAATCCTCCTCTTTAGAAGGATTGAAGTTGATAAGACTTATGCCTTGACAAATTTAAATGATAAATCATAAATTCAGATAGTGTAAACAATCAAATACCCAGGTAATGTCAGTGTTGAATGTGAATCTTAATCAGAGAGATAAATTAATAAAATCAAGCTCTCAAATTATAAATTCAATAATTCAAATTCTCCAATGATGACCGTATTAAAGATAAATATCAGTTGTAGGGGCCTATCAACAAAAACAATATTTTAAATTACAAAATATTTAAATTTTTAAATGAAATGTATCATCCTAAAAGCCTAGAGTATACTTTATTTATCATCAATAATCATTTGTCGAGGGTTATAAAATCAATGTTAACATAAGCTCAAATAGAACTAATATCATATTGAGTACAATTATATGCACACACAAAATAAGTTGCATTAATAAGCACGTGATTTGAGTCTTTTGTCAGTTTAGTATAGCTCAATTGCTCCACAGATATAATGTTTACAACAAGAGCACTCTGACTATATGATTTGGTCCAACAACGCTACTCTATTACAGTCACGGCTATAACTTGCTTGTTCCCCAATAGGGTTTTGCCCCTTTGAATTATGAATCATAAAGTATACGCGGTAAGGCAAGAAGCCTTATGTAAGTTAAGGTTCACTTAAACTTTTCCTCTTAGACAAGCATCCACCCCAAGTCTACAAAGTCCTCTTGGATGAAACAATTCATGGCTACTGACAAAGATCATCCTATCAAGATGAGTCGACTATCTCCTCTAAATAGACTAGGGACCATAACAACCCAAAATAACAAAATCATGGGATTTTAACCGGATTCACCATCATTCCTCTCAACATTTGTCCTTAAGCTCATGGTGAAAAATTCCTTAATTTAAAAATTAAATTAATGCTACCAATCAGTGCTTTAATGACTTACTTTAATCAAAAGCGTTCTTATGTATCAGGCGGGATGATTAATCATAGATACTTGTGCCTGTGGGAGATTTTGAAACTAAAATCTTAAAGACTTCATAAGAAAGAGAGTTAAATTTATGAGTTGTGTATTATTTACAATTTCATCTGACTTATGAAATTTTTCTTGGGGCCTCACATAAAATTCTCTTATCTCATTTCAAGAAAGGATAGGGAGCAAATTTTCGAAGCCCATAATAAGCTGAAATGACTCAAACAAAACCGGAGTGACGTATGGTTTAACTTGTAACACTAACTTAAATTTTTAAAATTTATCAAACCCCACACCCAAGGACATTAGTTTAGCACATATATAATCTTGCTGAGCTGAAATAAATTGGAATCCCCCTAAAGAACATACCCTAGTAACAGTTCCATCTAAACAGCTTCATGAAAGAAGAAATCTATTGAAATATGTGTTTGATTATTAGGTCATGGTAACAACAGCATTTTTAAAAATGAGAGCATCCGAGAATTATACTTTTTAAGAGAGAGTTTGTCACCAGTTTGAAACAAATGCACAAAGCAAAAGGAGAAAAACTTTGGGTGTAATAGAAAACGTAGCTGTCATATCTTCATTTTCTAAGTAAAATAGCTGCTAGATATTTTGACTAAAGTCGACGTTTACTTTAAATTTCCAAACTACATAACAAATTGGAGCCCACTAAAATATATGATACAATTGGAAGGGGAGTGCTAGAGAAGAGTATCATTTTAAAAAGCCTTCTATTTTTTGTCAGTGGACTATGTATATAACATTGGATCCATGGACCTTATAATCATTCTTCCATATAAATGAGATTGTTCTATAGTGAGGCACTTCGGTATATGCCTTTTAGATGTGATATAATTTTAATCAGTGAGACATCTATGACACTAGTAAAAAATTATAATAGTGGTAGAAATGTTTAAAAGATGGAAACCTAAAATAACTAGAATAATTGAATATATGATATTTAATTTTAGTGGGATCTTGCAATTCACATCTAATATTATTGGAAGATGAGGTGATATCTAGGTGTAATAAACTTAAGTACTTTCTATCTATTATTAAAAAAAATGAAGAAATAGAGAAGATAGAGGAGATATATCTCCTAGAGTTAAAGATAGATGATAAAAATAAATAAGCGCCTTAAAATTTTTATACGATAGGAGGATGTCATGGAGACTAAAAGGTGTCTTCCTTCCAAATTATAATTAAGTTGGCAATGTTGAAAAGATAAGAATATCGGCTATTAAAAATTTATAGATATCTAAGTTATGTATGGCAGAAATAAGAAAGTTAAGATGTATAGGACAAAATAGCAATAGATAGATTAAAGAAAGATTACAAATAAAACAAATGTTAGAGCGATTTCATGTGAGTTAATAAAATTAGATCCAAATGACTATAAAAGAAAAAGGGCAAACGCAGACTTAAATGAATAGATGTTGTTAAAATTTAGTTGGAATAAATATATTTAAAGCCCCTCAAAAATGATTAAAAGGAACAAATAGAACATGAGAAATCATAAAACCAACCTCGAATAGATAAAACTAATGATGAGAATGATAGGTTCTCCAATAAATAAAAGAAATCTCTCCCCCTCAATACTCCTATTTAATTAAATCATAATTAGTCATGTTTAATTAATCAAGGAAACCTTATGAACTTTCAATTGCTCTGATTAGGCATGTCCTATCCTTTATGATGACAAAAGCATATTGTACAACACTAACTCGCTTAGATCAAGATAGCCAAATCACATTGGAACTCGCTGAGTTCAACTTATCCAAGTCATATGATCAAATATCAGAAACCAAAACCAGCAACCATAAACCTTAAAAGTACTTCAAGTCGCTAAAAAATAAGTTGAAAATGCCGAAGGAAGATGGATCAAACTATCACAATCATTCTTTCAGATAAATTGAATAACTCTAATATCCTTAATAAAGCAATATTCACTCATCCTTTCCCACAGATCTACAGCACTCAATAGAAAAAACATCCATTCATCCTCTTACAGTACTTTGGGTCCTCAAACAGTAGCCCCCAACTTTGAAGAACTCAGCAACTAGGGGGCTCAGAATGGAGATACTCTATACTAAAGGCTTAACCCACTTAAAGAACTGAGGATCCAAGCTTCACTCCATTTGAAGGTTAAGAGGTGAAGCGTCAAGTACTATGACACGCATACACGAGAAAAAATTCCATGCAAGAGATCTTGTCTCCCAGAAGATCGAAGCTGCAATGGGATAATTAAACCTCAGCAAGATCAAGTCAACATGAGAATGCCCTTAAAGAGCAATCTGGCTCTTGCTCCTACCAACTTCAAAAGCAATGTTAGAAAAACATCCTAAACATAGACAAAAGATGCCCAAAATGATT